TTGAGATGTGCTATGTGATGCGCTATATAAGAAATGTGTTATTATTATTATGTGGAGTCATTTTAGATTTTAATTGAAAATTTTGGATTTTGCCTTTTCAGGAAGCCATCAAATACCCAGTCTTTAGAAGAATTGGTGACGATTTCACAGTGACGACGGAGATCATTGCAGGAGTTGAGGAGTTCGTCTGTCATCTATACAAACAGTTGGATTGTTCTGATGTGAACACTGCAAGGTACATGTTGATCTGAATTACATGTAGTGCTTTTTTCTGATGTGAAAAAAGTTAGAGAAACTATACGGCTACTTTTAGAGTGACCATCACAAAATGTCCTATTTTGTATTAGGGTATTACTTCCTTTACTTGGAATACAAAATGCTTTCAAATTAAGATTGTTTTCAGAGAATTGTATTCTATCCCAATATTCAAGTTACACAAAAATTGCTCACACTAATAAATCCGAAGGTATACATGTGCACTCAAAGTTTTCCACGAAGTCCTTATTTTCAAACATTGAGTTTGGTTGTGTTTTGCAACTAATTGAAATCTAAATAGATTCATGTAACTGATTGTTGTGCATATTCAGAAAAAATCAAGTTTCTAATCATAATTGATGCTTTTCAAGCCAAAAGACATTTCTCTCAATCTATTTGTCCAGATACAACCTGTTGCAGATGGGAACTGGGATGAAGTTATCAATGCCTCCAAACAAGGATGCCTTGTGCCTTCATGTCAAGAGGGCAAACTACCAAGCAGCCATATACAAGAGAGCCCTGGATCCGCATCCTGTGGTACCATCTCCACACGGACATGGATGGAAGGTCAACAGCGATGACATTTTCATCCACTGGATGGATCTTCCACCTGCTCCCAACAGTGTTATGGAATTAGCCCATTGTCCGTGCAAAAAAAGCCAGTGTGCCAAAGGAAAATGTAGCTGTCTTGAAAACAACTTGCTATGTACCGACTTGTGCAAATGCAGCAACTGTGAGAACATGCAAAGTGACCAGCAGTGTACTCTACCAGAGAGTGATGATTCCGATGTTGACGAGTACTCTTAATCCCTTACAGCTTTCTTCATAAATCCTGTAATCGTTCGCATGAATTAAATTTTACTCTGTGTCAATCCTGAAAAATTTTTGGAGCATGTTAATTGGAGGTTTACCCTCTGTCTCAGTCCTTCAAAATTATCGTTTATTAGCTATCTTTGTGCTTAGGCAGGGCAAGTGGCATTCTAAAGCAGAGTGATTGCTTCCCAAATAAATTTGGGATGGATTTATATGTATGCAGGACTTGGAGCATTGACAGTGGGTTTCCAAAGATAATACATTTGATGAGGATGTTTTGAGGCAAGTAGAAAAGCAATGTTCATTTAGGCCACCGTTTAGAAATGATGCCCAAGGTTTGCTTCAGACTATGACGAACCTCGAACCAAGACTAGCCGTAATGTGACTGTATGCCATCATGATAAATATCCTTAGTAGTTTGGAATAACCCTTCTGTTGTGTGAACAGAGACAATTTCACAAACCAGCTCACCAGAATTTTCTGTGTATTTATGCTAGGTTCGTATGTGACAGCGAGTATGCCATTGTGGTAAATTTCCTTATTATTTTGGGAAAGCCTTTATCTTGTGTGAACAAGAGACAATGTCGCAAACCAACTTATCAGAATTTTCTGAGTGTTTTCATGCTAGGATTGTACTAGTATTGTCTACATGTATGTAAATAATTTTGTCCTTTTGAAATGCAGTTTGGTCGGTTGTGGACTAATGAGAACATGAAGTGAGTCAGACATAAAAACTGGTACATCTTGTCATTTCAGACAAACAAGCCCCTTACTGCAAATGAACGTGCAATTTGCGAATTTAGACCAAATGATTGAAGAAATATTTAGTCTTTGCTTGATCTAGTTTGTGAATGAGACATGTACATCATCATTCATTGATATCAATATCATGATGACATTGACAGTTTTTTAGGTTTTCAGTTCAATGGGATAATTTGCCAACAGATGTCTACTTTCAGTATGGTGTTTGTGAATCATGAAGCATTCCTCTCATTTAGGTACTATGAACCTTCAGAGTTTTGGAGGTGTTACATTTGGGATATCATAATTACAAAGTACAAAACATGAATGCATTCCTGATGACTGCTAAAGTTTGTGCATGTGATAAACTCTTCCCTTTTAGATTAAATTAATCAAGAAATATTAATGTTATACAGGTAACACTGATAGTCAGTGTCAGCATGTGTATTTCAGTATACAGAAGAGCCACTTTCAATTTGAAATATGACTTGTGTTTCTAGTAATTTGGAAGCAGGTGTTTTTTCCTTATATGGAGTGAAGGTGCGGGTATATGAAGTACAACGGAATAAAAGAATTAATGAAATTTTCTTGAAAAAAGTGATAATTTACAAGAGTTTATTTATTTAAAGGGTTTCAACAAGAAATACATGTACATTTGTGTACTAGACATGTTAAAAA